CAACCCCCCCCCCCCCCCCCCCACCCACCGAGATCTAGCATCCTTGCTAGCGCACCACCTCGTGCCCACCCTCGTTGGGGCTCAGCCTCCTTACTGGCACATCGCTCGGTGTCTGGCTCTGATACCATTCGCAATAGCCCAAGTCAACCGCCAGCAGATATTGTTCTCTTTGAGCTTTCCCTTTTGGGCTTCCCCTCAAGGTTTTTAAAACGCATTTGCTAAGGTGAGGTTTCCACACCTTTATAAAGGATGTTTCGTTCTCCTCCCAACCATGTGGGATCTCAAAAACATTTAACTCATTTTCTTGAAAACGTACTTTGCAGAAGAATATTGATAGACCCCATATTTCCAAGGTCTATACACATCGGACTAGGAAAGAGAAAGTAGGGAGTTAAGCAATACAGTACGTGAGGGATAACTGTTAGAGAGGAGCTGAGCATTGTGTGTACATGGATAGCCTTTGAAGGGCGCGTCCAAGAGGGGGAAGGGTATATTTTTGGATTATTGTTTTGGAACTCATATTTTGAGTGTTCTTGGATGAAAGGGAGCTTTTGAATTTCCCTTGGTGGTTGCCATAAATCGTTGATAAATAAATTTTAGTATTATACTTCTCTCAAAACGCTGCCGAACACACACTAAGAAATCTAAGACTTGTGCTCGTGGGTCTGCACTCATAGAACATGAAGAAATTGACATTTCTTTTCTGGTGCCTTCATCGTCGTACAGGTATTCCTGGGCCTTATCAGAGGTTGAAGAGGCACAGGGAGCCTGCTTACTTGTTGCTGCCGATGTTATCTATAGTGACGACTTGACAGATGCGTTTTTTAGTATCTTAGAGAAGTTTATGTCTCAAGGTTCAGAAAAGGTATGCACTCTCATGTTGAGATTATTATATTTTATTTGAGGTTTCCAATTGATGGGTTAGGTTTAAGTAGATAATGAAATATGCCTTTCACTTTATTTTTATATGGAAAAGATGCTAATCATTGACCATATGTTTAAAGGACAAATGATATGAACAAACATTTGCTTGAAATAATGCATTATTAGGACATTTGCTTGAAATAATGCATTATTAGGCAAGGGACATGAAATTTGATTATGTATGTGGGCCTTATATTCTACCACATTTCCTCGTTGATCCTCATTTGAGGAGACGGAATGGAGACCATTGTTTATGTATGTGGACTTATTGATTCTTTGTAGCTAAGTTAGGCAGCGTGGAGTTGTAAGGAAACTTACTGCCGATTATTTTACTCATTGTCAACCTACACATATTTCAACTAGTTAAGACATATATTCTCAATTTAACCCGCGTTGAACTCAAAACGAGACCTCTTACCTACTTTTCTTTGGAATTATGTAGCGAGCTCATGTATTGTCTTAGCTGAAACCATGAGGATGAGTAGCTATTGCGAAGTTTTGTTATTTGCTTAATGTTTTGGTTGAATGTTAGATGAATTAATTATCACTTGTACCAAACCCACCAGGTGTTGTATTTGGCTTTGGAAAAGCGCTATAACTTCACTCTGAATGACTTCGACATTGTAGCAAATGGCTATTCTCATTTCCTAAGTTACCTGAAACATGAAGAGGGTAAGTGACAGTGACATTCAGCACGTATCTCCGTCTTTAACGTTTCTATCTCGAGCTCATGTTCTACTTTTGGTACTCGACAGACAGCAGCTTGCAGCAGGAATCAAAACCATGTTTTATAGGCAACCGCATTGATCTTGCAAACATCCCACAATATGTCCTCAACTATGAAAGAGGGGAAGATGTAGAAATCTGGCAGATAAAGTATTGTAGGAAAGAGTCTTGAGATCAGAGAAGGGCCATGAACATCTGCTGTAGAAGTCACAAATAGTTGCCTGCATTCATAAATCTGGTGAGTTTTCCCTTCAAAACTTCACCAAGAAAATGGGTATCAGTTATCACAGAACAAGGACTGAAGATATCTATTTTTGTAGACAAAGATCCACAAACAGTTCCAATCTCAGTTCTAATTCTGTATTTTCTTCATTTCGTTTCACAATCTTCCTAATATTTTTTCTTCGTTTCGTTTCGAAATCATTTTGAGGATTGATTTTGCCATTTTTAATCGATTGTTGGTAGATTTTTGTAAAGATCTCAGGGTTATAATGTGCTCAGAAATAATGGTATTTTTTTTTTTTTTTTATCATTTGTAGGTAGAAGATTGAAGCATTGACCTCTGAATGATATGATGATAATTAGTGCATTTGTAGTATTGGCTCGAAGTATTATAAACAATGTTATAAGATATATGATAAGTAGCATTTGGCATTTAAAATTGAATAAAATAACCTCATGCAGCCATGCACTTCTGTATAATGGTTTTAAAATTTTCTAAACTTGACTTTTGTCACCAAAATTGTTAATTAAAAATTATAATTGATTTGGTCAAATTATTAATTGATTTTTTTTGTGATATTTTTTTAGATTCAACCCAATTTTTAAGGTTGTAATGTTTTTTAATCAAAGCAATATTATTAAATAATAAATTTGGATCATTGATTTACCACTCCAATATCCAATTTGAAAATTCACAAATAATCTGGAAAAAAATGGAGTTAAATAAAATTAAAATAAATATATGTATATATAATTGTCATGTAAAAAAAAAAACAATCATGAAATTTTCATTTATTTGAATTCTAACTAACTTTTATAAGTTGGTAATACGATAAAACATCAATTATTATTTCATATAATTATTAAACTAAAAAAAATTAAATGGTACATAATTTAATTATTACACGAGTCCTACTTGCTGGAAATGAAAAATAGCTTTTTGGAAAAAAGAAAAGAAAGAAAAATGGTTGAAGGCTATATTTTTATTATTTTGGAAAAGTAGATAACTTAACTTGGAAATAAAGCTAAAAAGCTACGTTTTGTCATTTAAAAAAAAAAAAAAAGAAAGAAAGACTTTTCTTTTTCTAATATATTTTGAATAAATATGAAAAATACAATATTTTAATTTCTCTCCCCAAAATAAAAATAAATTATTTTTTCAACTTAAATTACATAAACAAAACTTTAAAACACTGATGTATTTTATTTATTTATTTGTTCTGAATTTTGTTTTTAATGAAAAATAAAATAGTGCTGAAAAGATTCCCCCATATATAAATAAATAAATATATAAATATATAAATATTTATTGGGAAATTCTTTGTAAGTGAGAAACAGGCGCTGTTGTTGTTGTAACGTTCGAGCACGGGTCCTGGAATTACCGGAAATTTCAAGTCTGTCCCAAAACCCATTTTCAAATTACAATTTTCCGTTTCCAAAAACCCAACTCGATTTCCCTAAAATCTCCAGTAATCCTTCATGCTCAACCCCTGATTTCGCCGCCGATTTCCAGAGCTGCTTAATGGGTTGTTCACAGTCCAAGATCGAGAATGAAGAAGCCATCGCGCGTTGTAAAGAGCGCAAGATTCATATGAAGGAGGCGGTGACGTTTCGGAACGCGTTCGCTGCTGCTCACTCCGCTTATTCCATGTCGCTTAAGAACACTGGAGCTGCTTTAAGCGATTATGCCCATGGTGAGGTTCAAAATACCCAATTTGTTCCTGTATCTACTCAACCAAACTCCGCCCTTACTTCCGCCACCGCTGCATCTTTTGAACCCTTTCCGCCGCCTCCACCGCCTTTGCCCCCTTCTAATTTTCATTCTCCTCTTCAAAGGGCGGCCACCATGCCTGAGATTAATATGTACAAACCCGATCTCAAGCCTGGGTCGCCCATTATTGAGGAGGAGGAAGAAAATGAAAACGAAGGCTCTGTTGGTGCGTTGAGGAGGAGGAGGAGCAATAAAAGTAAAGGAGATGAAGGGAGTAGCCGAAATAGAAATTCGGCGGAGCTTAATGAAGATTTGGCCGGTGCTTCCCCGCCAGTGCCACCGCCACCGTCTGAGAACCGGCATATTCCACCACCCCCGCAACAAGATTCGACATATGACTATTTCTTCTCCGTTGATAACATACCGGTCTCGACTTTGAGTGAAGTTGAGGAGGTACAGATTAACAAAGCGGAGATTGAGCGCAAGTCGTTTGATAAAATGTCCAAGGGAGTAGACAATCATGATATTGAGGAAAGGGGAATTAGTGGAAAAGCTGAGACAGTGGAGTCAGTGCTCGAGGAGCCGGTGGCGCCGCCTCCAGCACCGCCTTCAGTGGCAGAATCCTCTGTGGCGGCGAAGAGCTTAAAGAAAATGAAACAGGGTGGATCTATGGGGGCCATGGATGGCAAGAGGATGGTGAAGCCAAATGTTAATCTTTTGCTGATATTTACAAATATCGATGATAATTTTCTCCAGGCTTCAGAGAGTGCCCATGAAGTGTCCAAGATGCTTGAGGCTACACGATTACACTATCATTCAAACTTTGCTGATAATCGAGGTATGGATCTTGCTTGGAAGTTGAGCTTTATGATAGCCAACTTGAACAATACATGCTAGAATCTTAAGCAGCTTGGGGGGAAGTTTTTGGTTTTTTTAAGAAGAATTTGTTCTACTTTTCTTTAGGTCACATTGACCACTCTGCCAGAGTGATGCGTGTTATTACATGGAACCGATCATTCAGGGGATTGGCTAATATGGATGATGGAAAAGATGATTTTTATGCAGAAGAGCAAGAAACTCATGCCACCGTGTTGGATAAACTACTGGCATGGGAGAAGAAGCTGTATGATGAAGTGAAGGTATATCAAACACTCTTCTTCATATCTTAATCTTTATGCATCTCTTTTGGCTACTCATTTATATGGGGTTGACCCTGCCTTTTTGCTGCCTTTCTGAAGAGTTTTGCACATTTGATTGTTACTATGGAGTCTGGATATTTCTTTCTTGCCTCTCTCTCTGTCTCTTATTATTATCATTGCCTGCTAGACACCAAGTTTGTTGGTTGGTTGGGCAGATCAGCGGCTGGTAGAAAGCTTTTTGGCTGATCTTAGATATCAGGCCCCAGGTGTGGTCGTGGTATAATGAAACAAGTATGTGGAAGATTATGACATTCAGTATTTGGCGTTTCTAGTCTTTATACATTTTTGGGCTAACCGCTAGCCGATATTATCCTCTTTGGGCTTTCGCTCAAGGTTTTTTTAAAACGCGTTTGCTAGGGAGAGGTTTCCATACCTTTGTAAAGAATGTTTCGTTTCCTCCCCAACCGATATGGGATCTCGCAATCCACCCCCTTCGAGGTCCAGCGTCCTCGCTTTCACTTGTTCCCTTCTCCAATCGATGTGGGACCTCCCCCCCTCTAATCCACCCCTCTCAGGGCCCAGTGTCCTTGCTGGCACACCACCTCGTGTCCACTCCCTTTCGGGGCTCAGCTTCCTTGCTAACACATCGCCCCGTGTTTGACTCTGATACCATTTGTAATAGTCCAAGCCCACCGCTAGCAGACATTGTCCTATTTGGGCTTTTCCTTTTGGGCTTCCCTTCAAGGATTTGAAAACGCGTCTATGAGGGAGAAATTTATATACCCTTACTAAGAATGTTTTATTTTTCTCCCCAACTGATGTGGGATCTCACAAATTACTGCTTCATCGTGGCCTTCAGCACTGTCCTCCTGACCCTTGAAGCCTTGAGGTCACAATGTATGCTCGTTCCTATTTGTAGCCCTGTTCTATCTGAACCAATACTCTAGACAGGCACTATATGTTGAGGTTTCAGTTATTTTGTTTGACATGTGATCCTTCTGAAAGAAATTTGTACTTCTATGATGGAAGGAAATTTCTTTTAACTGAATCTTCATTGTGATATTAATAATTGACAGGCAGGTGAACTCATGAAATTTGAGTACCAGAAGAAGGTTGCTACATTGAATAGGCTGAAGAAACGAGATTCTAATGCAGAAGCATTGGAGAAAGCAAAAGCAGCCGTAAGTCATCTGCATACTAGATATATTGTTGACATGCAATCCTTGGATTCAACTGTCTCAGAGATTAGTCGTCTACGAGACGAACAGTTATACCCAAAACTTGTTCAGCTTGTTAATGGGTGAGTTGCACGAAACATAGTAATACGCAAATGCATATGCTTTTTGTTTACTATACATTACAGTTACCTTTACGAATCGATTATACTGACTCATGGATATTAAGTTCAAAAATATTGTATGTTCACGATTTATCTATCCTCCAATCTTATGAAATCCTAGAACATATTTGCTCAACTTTTAAGGTTGTCACGTACATGTTTTTTCAAATCAGAAGTAATGTTTTTTGTTCTGCAGAATGTCATTGATGTGGGATACAATGAGAGCTCACCATGAAACACAATTGAAGATTGTAAGTGCTTTGAGATCGATGGATCTGTCTCAGTCCCCAAAAGAAACCAGTACTCATCATTACGAGCGCACGGTTCAGCTCTGTGGCGTTGTTAGAGAGTGGCATTCACAGTTCGAGAAGCTTGTGCGCTGTCAAAAAGACTACATTAGAGCCTTAAACAGTTGGTTGAAACTAAATCTTATTCCCATAGAGAGTAGCTTGAGAGAGAAGGTTTCTTCTCCACCAAGAGTTCAAAGTCCCCCGATTCAGAAACTCCTCATCGCTTGGCACGATCAACTCGAGAGACTCCCAGATGAGCATCTCAGAACTGCCATATTCACTTTTGGTGCTGTGATTAACACTATTATGCTGCAGCAAGACGAAGAGAGAAAACTGAAAACAAAGTGGGAGGAGACCGGGAAAGAACTCGAGCGCAAGCAGCGACACTTCAATGAATGGCATAACAAGTACCAGCAACGGAGAATGCCCGATGAGTTGGACCCCGAAAGGTCTGAAGAAAACACTCAGGACGCCGCCGTCACGGATAAGTTGGTTGCAGTAGAGTTGTTGAAGAAGAGATTGGAGGAGGAAATTGAAACTCATGCGAAGCAATGCCTTCATGTGAGGGAGAAATCGTTGGTAAGCCTTAAGAATCAGCTGCCAGACCTCTTCCGGGCATTGTCAGAGTTCTCCCTTGCTAGCTCAGAGATGTACAAGAACTTGAGGTCTATCTGTCAGGTCTAGATTTGAAGCAACAAAGTTTCCTTGTAAGTTATTGTATAATTTCCTTTCCTTTTTTTATTTTGATCTTTATTTTTACTTCAAACCAAATCCTTTGGTGTTTGCCTTGGAACTCACTTTCATTGGTTAGTAGCTGTGTTTCTTTATTACCTGTTCTTCTCTTTGGTCTCTCGTTCATAGCTTTGTGACTGGTTTGTGTTATTTCAACAAACGAGAGCTGTCATTCCTCCTCCATCAAGCTCTGCTCGTTGATGCTCCGATCACTGGTGCGGGTACTTACGGCTATGGCGGTGCAACCTCTTGCCACCTTCACGGCCTTCCTGCGTTACAGTGGCCTCCTCCCTCGGAGCTTGAACTTGCAGAGAATTGTTAGACAGCAGGAAGAGAACCATCTCTTCCGTTTTCTTGTCAATTTTTGTTCCTGTTTGAAATTTTGGACGAACTTTTAACTCAAATCTTAGTAACCTCTCCTCTTTTTTTCGTACTTTTCTTCTAATTTTATTCTTCCAGATTTCAAATATATTAATGATATTATTAAATTAAATCAATGATATATTAACATTCAAATAATAAAAATAATATATATAAAAATATATTGTTGAGGATTAAGTTCCACCTTGGTTAATTTAGTGGAAGATCATGAATTTATAAGTGATGAATACTATCTATGGTATGAGGCCTTTTGTGAAGCCCAAAGGCATAAGAGCTTATGTTCAAAGTGGACAATATCATACCATTGTGGAGAGTCGTGAATCCTAACATGGTATTAGAGTTATGCTCAAAACTTAACCAACCTAACATGGTATCAAAATCATGCTGTGGACAATATCATACCATTGTGGAGAGTCGTGATTTCTAATATGATATTAGAGTCAAACTCTAAACTTAACCAAACTAACATAGTAGTGATTTCTAACATGATATCAGAGTCATGCCTAAAACTTAACCAACAAAGGGTGTACTTTGTTCGATGATTATTGGGTGAGTCCCACATTGTTTAGATCATAGGTTTATAAGTGAGGAATACTACCTCTAGTGGTATAAGACCTTTTGGGGAAGCCTATTGTTACTCATATTAAACTATGTTAGTGCTATTGATTCTATCGGAAACGTAATAAATTGGGGATATCTACGGTACATCAACATTCATATCGAGTAGAGAAGAAAAATATTTAGATAATAAAAAAATAAATATTTAACTTTAAATGAACATAATAAAAAGAAAATAAGTAATATATCAAATTTGGAATTCTTGTTCATTAAGATATGTTAAAGACATTTATTATTATTATTATTATTATTTTCCTTTTGTAGGTTAAGCCTCCATTTTTATTTTGTCTCTCTCTTTTAATTTTTTCCCGTCTTATTTTAGTTATTTGATGATTTAAAAATAATTTTTAATAACAAACATTAATAATTGAAAATTAGCTGGCCTTAGAGAATCAGACAGCGGCCAAAAATTCTTAATCACGAGACGATCTTGTAACGAACGGCATTAATGGCGATGGAAGTGATGCCCACTAACACACTAACAGGAGAATCCATTCCAAAAAAGAAAAAGAAAAAAAAAACTTTTACAAATTTACAGCAAAATCCTTCGAAAAGCTGCATGGAACGTTGAAAAGCGGGGCCACCAATGAGCAATTGCGTCAAATTAGCGATATGTTATCACTGCACACTCCCAAACCCACTTTTATACCTCCGCTGAAAGCTCTTTCCGCCATTTCTACCGGCGAGAAAGCATCTTCCCTTTTCCCCCTTTTCTTACAATCGTAACAATCTGAGCATCTTTTCGTTTGTAATGCTCGTCCGGCGGAGTGAGCAGTTCTGTTCTCTTAGATTCTTCCGATTTAACTAACAAGAAATAGTGGGTCATGTTCCATTTTTGATTAATCGTCCTGCTGGTGTGAGTTCTTGCTGTGGATCTTTAATGGGTTGCTCCCAGTCGAAGATCGAGAATGAAGAGGCGATTGCGCGCTGTAAAGATCGGAAGATTCATATGAAAGATGCAGTCGCGGCGCGTAATGCTTTTGCGGCTTCTCATTCTGCTTGTGTGATGTCTTTGAAGAACACTGGAGCTTCTTTGAGCGATTACGCTCACGGAGAAGTTCAGAATCCTCAATTAATCGTCAATGGGAGTGCTCAAGCGAACCCGAAATTCGATTCCGTTGCAGCGTCTTATGAGCCTCTAGCGCCGCCGCCGCCTCTTCCGAATTTCCCTTCTCCGCTTCACAGGGCTGCTAGCATGCCGGAAATGAACATTCTCAAGTCCGATCTGAAGCCGGTTGGCCCCATTATCGAGGAGGAGGATGAAAATGAATCCGATAATGATGGCTCTCGTGGTTCGTTGAGGAGGAGAAGCAAAAAAGGTAGCGGTGGTGGTGGGAGTACTCGAACTGGGAATTCAGAGCTTGATGATGAATTAGAGGGTCCTCCGCCGCCAATGCCGCCGCCGCTGATGAATGTGGACAGGCCAATGCCACCGGCACAACACCAGGATTCGACTTACGATTACTTTTTTTCTCTCAACAGTATGCCTGGTCCGACTTTGAGTGAGGCTGAGGAGGAGATTGAAAGAGAGGACGATGATGAGATGGAGGATCAAAGAGGAGGAGGCAAAGAAGCTGAAGTTGTGGAGCCACCGCCACCGCCTGCTGTGGCGGAGCCATCGGCCATAACATCAAAGAGCTTGAAGAAGGTGGGGGCTGTGGGTTCCATGGAGGGCAGAAGGATGATGAATTTGTTGCAGATATTTGTGAATCTTGATGATCATTTTCTCAAGGCTTCTGAGAGTGCCCATGAAGTGTCCAAAATGCTTGAGGCTACACGACTGCATTATCACTCAAATTTTGCTGATGGCCGAGGTATCAGGATCTCTTGCTTTTTATCTTTCAAGCATGTTGAAGATATCTAGTATAATAATTTAGCATCATGATGTTAATTGTATGAACGCTATTTGGGTTTGGCTCTTCTCTGTTTAAATATTTGTCTAGGTTGTTCGGGTGCCTCAATATTGGTGTCGATTCTATAGGAATGTGCATCCTGTAACAGCCCAAGCTTATCGCTAGTAGATGTTGTCCTCTTTGGTGTGCAAGGAGAGATTTTTACGCTCTTATAAAAAAATGTTTTGGTCTCCTCCTCAACCGATGTGGGATCTCACAATCTCACAATCTATCCCTTTCGAGGCTCAGCGTCCTCACTGGCACTCGTTTCCTTCTCCAATCGATGTGGTACCTCCCAATCCACCCCAACGTTCTCTCTGGCACACCTTCTGGTGTCTACCCTCCTTTGAGGTTTAGCCTTCTTGCTGGCACATCGTCCAGTGTCTGCCTCTGATACCATTTGTAATAGCCTAAGTTTAGACTAGTAGATATTGTCCTTTTTGAGCTTTCCCTTCTGAGCTTCCCATTGAAGTTTTAAAATGTGGCTTCTATGGAGAGGTTTCCACACCTTTATAAACAATGTTTCGTTTTCCTCTCCAACCAATGTGGGATCTCATAATCCACTCCCTTTGGGGCCTAGCGTCTTCACTGACACTCGTTTCTTTCTCCAATCGATGTGGGACACCCCAATCCAACCCCTTCGAGGCTCAACGTCCTCTCTAGCACACCACCTGGTGTCCACCCCCATTCGAGGTTCAGCCTCCTTGCTAACACATTTCCTGGTGTCGGGCTCTGATACCATTTGTAACAGCCCAAGCCCACCGCTAGTAGATATTGTCCTCTTTGGGCTCTCCCTTTCGGACTTCCCTTCAAGGTTTTAAAACATGAGAGAGGTTTCCACACCTTTTATAAAGAATGCTTCATCCCCTCTCCAACCAACGGGATCTCACATGACCTTTGCTCTATTTTATGTATACTTGGAGGAAGGCAAACTAAGCTTGTGGAAGTAAAATTGCTTATATAGGTTCCTTTAGGATAATGTGGGGTTTTGCTTGTATTCACTGTTCATATTCCTGAAGAACTCCATGTCTTTTTGTGTTTTTGTTTTATCAGGACATATTGATCACTCTGCCAGAGTGATGCGTGTTATTACATGGAACCGATCATTTAAAGGGCTTTCAAATATGGATAATGGAAAGGATGATTTCTATGCGGAAGACCAAGAAACTCATGCCACTGTTCTAGACAAACTCCTGGCCTGGGAAAAGAAGCTATATGATGAAGTGAAGGTACCTTTCTTATGTTTATGCCGATTCTCCTTAAAAGCGATGAGTAGTAGCCATGAACATTGTGATGATTATGTTTGAATAGGCAGGTGAAATTATGAAATTTGAGTACCAAAGAAAGGTTGCTGCACTGAACAGGCTAAAGAAACGAGGTTCTAATCCAGAAGCGTTGGAGAAAGCAAAAGCAGCAGTGAGTCATTTGCATACAAGATACATTGTTGATATGCAATCTTTGGATTCAACCGTCTCAGAGATTAATCGTCTGCGAGACGAACAGTTATACCCAAAACTCGTTCAGCTGGTTCATGGGTAAGTTCTTTGAAATTTGGCTCTATTTGTGAGACCGATTGCCGAAGCCTTTGGCATGACTGTCAATCTCTGATTGCTTTTTAAGTACCCTATTGCTGCCTAAGGAATTGTGTGCATAATCGTTTTTCATTTGCGCATCTCGTTTTTCATTTGCGCATCTCATTTTTCATTTCTGAGCGTGTTCAGCTTGAACATATTGGATACATGATATGTCGATGCGATGTTTTAATTGATTGATTGTGCTTTCCATTTAGTGCTTCCACTCAAAGTTTTTAAAACGCAAGAGGTTTCCTCACTGGCACATCGTCTGGTGTCTGGCTCTGATACCATTTGATATGGTTTCAAAGGATGAACTAGGCTCAAGTCTACTACTAGTACAGATACTGTCCTCTTTGGATTTTTCCTTTCACTCCAAGGTTTTTAAAACTTGTTTACTAGGGAGAGGTTTCCACACTCTTATAAAGAATGTTCTGTTCTTCTCCCCAACTGACGTGAGATCTCACAATCTAGACCTTGGAACATTGGAATACTTGCGAGGTTTTGATCCATGAACAGTGTTCGTTATGGTTAGAGATTGAGTTAGTCTGGAGGTGGGTTCTAAATAGATTTTGGTTAGCTTGATCTCTATCAGATATTCAAATTTATTGATTCCTAAATCTCATTATACTTGTTCTTCACTGCAGGATGATGTTGATGTGGGACACAATGCGAATGCACCATGAAGAGCAATTGAAAATTGTGAACGCATTGAGATATCTGGATCTCTCTCAATCCCCAAAAGAAACCAGTCTGCATCACCATGAGCGCACGGTACAGCTCTGCAACGTCGTGAGGGAGTGGCACTCACAGTTCGAGAAGCTCACGCTCTGTCAGAAAGACTACATAAAAGCATTAAGCAGTTGGTTGAAACTAAATCTAGTTCCTATAGAGAGTAGCTTGAAAGAGAAGGTTTCTTCTCCACCAAGAGCTCAAAATCCACCAATTCAAAGACTCCTCATTGCTTGGCACGACCAACTCGAAAAACTCCCCGACGAGCATCTTAGAACTGCGATATCCAGTTTCAGTGCTGTGATAAGTACTATTGTACTGCAGCAGGAAGAAGAGATGAAGTTGAAGTTAAGATGTGACGAGAGCATGAAAGAGCTCGAGCGCAAGCAGAGGCAATTTGATGACTGGCATTACAAATACCAGCAACGGAGAATGCCCGACGAGTTGGACCCCGAGAAGTCTGAAGGAAACTCGCAGGATGCCGTAGTGACGGAGAAGTTGGTTGTGGTAGAGTCATTGAAGAAGAGAGTGGAGGAGGAAAAGGAAACTCATGCAAAGCAATGCCTTCATGTGAGGGAGAAATCACTGGTGAGTCTTAAGAATCAGTTACCAGAACTGTTCAGGGCATTGTCAGAATTTTCATCAGCGGGTTCAGACATGTACAAGAACTTGAGGTTGATTTGTCAGGTCTAAACTTTCCCTGTAAGTTTTGTAGGATTTCCCACTGCGTTATTTATTTGACATTCAAACAACTGTTATGGAATTTTCATATGAAAAGTCTTGGAACTATTGCTATCTTTTCTATGGAGATCGATAATGATCTCTTGTTCTTAAAGACATATGAAAATGAGAACTAATATCTAAAATGAAAGATTCGATATTCCAAAAGGAGAAAAAGAAGATGAATTTTAAGCATTTCAAATAATTAACAACTAAGATTGGGCATAGGCAGCCACACCAAAATGGTGCCTCGAGTAGTTATGTACCTTTAAAAGAAAGAAACAAATGAAGACAACAATTTTTGAAAATGGGATCCATCTGCAAAGGGCTCCAAAGAACTGAAGATGGTTCACTGGATCAAAACCAGAGACAAGCTATAGCAAAGAGAGGCCACAAATGACCACCACTGCATAAACACTAAAATCAATGAAAATCGCTCGAAAAGCTTGGTAAAACACCAAACCTCTCTCCAAAACTTTCACAGCTGACTCCCAGTTCTGTCCATCTTCCTTCATCTTCTCGCATTCTTCCTCTGCCTCCCCACCGTGTTTCTGCCTGTCAGCCAACATTCTCGCCACTACGATTGTTACGTTGGTGAGCAGTAGAATGTAGAGAGGCTTTGAGGCCATCACACTCTCCGAACTCACAATGTTCCTAATCGTGAAGAGCGGGTGATCGACATGCGATAGAATGGCCAAAGAAGCGATGATTAGTGAACAGAAAACTCGTTTGGTTTGAGAAGCTAAAATGGAGACATTTAGTCGTTTTGAAGTGAAGATTCTAGGCTTTGAAGGCTGTGGTTTTGACAGTGGCTCGTTAACAATGGTGGCTTTCTGAACCATTGGTAAGGCAGATGGAGATATCATTTCTTTGCATACTTCTCCAATGGGGTCGATTTTTTTATCATTGATTTGGAATCCTGTGGCTGTAATTTTTTCTTCTTGGACTTCATTGATGGGCATATGCTTCGGTAAAGGGACAGCCGTTCCATCTTTAAGCTTCGGAATAGCTGCAAAACAAATGAAAGTAAACAGGACTCCTCACTCCAAAATTGTTAGTTTAAGTCATAGAGGTTCTCATTCCCATTTATTTACCAACATTCAACTTCTTTCACAATCAATGTGAGATCATTCCACCATCTCCATAATCCCAATTCGTTTTGACACCACTTAGTATCAAATATGGTTTTCTCATCTCAAAAATTAACCCACATAAACCATGTTATCAGTTCCTAGATGGGAAAAACGAACAATGAATCTTAACCAGACTTGTTGGAAAAGATTCAAACAAGAGCTAATAACCAAGATAGAGCTATTATATTGTTATTGATTTATTTTTAATCCGATGCATAATGGTCACATTAATAACTGGCTGTTAAAAATTTCAGTCAATATCTCTCTTGTTCTTCCTAACCCCAGAGATGCTCGAATATGCGAATATTAGGCAACCAAATTCTGAACAATGTTAGCACACTTGTAATGTAGTAACCTCTTTCTAACTGCATTGAGATAAATAATAATCATAATAACAATAATAAAGCCTTTAAAATATAAGTGATAAATTCATGGTAGATATAGAACTTGGTATACCTCCACTGTCAGATAGATGATTATCTTATTCACGTGATGAATAATTTAAAAAGGATATATAAATTTCAACCTGTTATAATTGTAATCATCATTAGCATATATGAGGCTTATCTTATGAAATCTCCCGATGCCTAAATAGTTACACATACAACTTGAATCAACATGAGCAATACAATGCATGCATTTGCGAAATCGATTCATCCAATGCTTATAACAAACAAATTAATGTGCGTGCATATCAGAATCCTAACATTTCCTACACTTAGGTTATACAACGCAGATAAAAAGATTTGATCTCTAATACGTCCATGGATGTTGAAGGAAGACTAATTAGCAATAATCCATCACCAAAAGAAAAACTGCAAGTTAATTAATGAAAATTGGCTTCTAATTCTCAATCAGGCGGAACATACAAATCGGAACATATAAAATAAGAAGGAATGAGAAAAGAAACCTAAGAGTCATATCGCAAAATGCAAAATAGTCGAGATTCGATTTAGAAGAAGAAAAACAGGGAGCGGCAATACGGAATGGAGAGAAGAAAAAAAAAACAAGAAGAATACCGTGGACGGGACGGAGGGGAAGGGAGTCTGGATTCTTTTGGAGCTCCTTGGATAAGAACGACGGTGAGATTCCGGTGTGCGAATGGCCGCGTTGGTGAATTTGATATTGAAGAAATGGAGACGGTGAAGAAGGAGAAGGCGGAGGCGAGGGAGGTAGAGTTCGTAAACGGCCGGTGATGAGAGCCATTCGATCCGTTTCTTTGCTCCTAATTTTTTGCCTTCGCTCCGCTCTGCTATCGGTCTTCGTCGCCATTTCCATCTTCCTATTTCGCTTTCCGATCTCTCTTTCTTTCTCTCTATTGCGAGAGTTCGTCTGGTATTTCTGTTATAAAACTCGACACGCGATTCTGGCGAAGAAAGGCTCGACGGTGTCGTTTTTAAATTGTGGGCTCAAAATGGGTAAATGGATATCTTTGGGCCCAGACAAGGCCCACTTCTGACGTTTGTGATTCCATGTCTACTATTATACCTTTTGGTCTCTATTTTCCAAACTTTTGACATAAAATTTAGGAAGAAATGAGATTAAAAATAAAAAATAAAATGAACACAATAAAAGTAATTATTAGTTTGAAATTAATTTTTATAAATGCAATGTAAATGTTGGGATTTATGTTATGAAACACTGTAATTAATTATTTAATTTAAATAATAATTTTGATTATTTAGTTGCAATTTAACATTATCCATTATGTGAAAAATCTAAAGTTATAAGTGTAATCTTGAACGGTATGTGATTGATTTGTAGGAGGTTCATGTTCAAGAAATAACTTAAAGGGTCTTATATCATATGGATAAGAATGAGTGTTTTTTTACGTTGATAACACTATTGATACAACACACTTTGTAATTATTACTAATAATTCGTCCAAATTGTTCATTAGAAAACATGTGAGTGGTGTGTTCTATGCAATGAGTTTATATAAGACTAAATAATAAAATATTTAATCTCTAAATAAATTTGTTAATTGAGAAAATTAATATTTTACTGAAGGATCATAAGTGACTCGATCTTAATTTTAATTTGAGCAAATTAAAAATTCATAATTATGAAAGCTTTGTCCTTTGATTTATATAAGTGAGAATGATTTTTGTAGTGGTATGTTATCTATGTACTAAGAACATAATCTTACGAGATGAAATTCATTCCTGCTGTTATCTATGTACTGATTTCAAAGCTTAAACAATGGAGTCACACCACACCTTCTCACTGTCTCAAGAGAGACATCATTTATTGTTGAATCATAAATAAATTGTTAATCAGAGAATCATAATTACATGAATATACGACTAAAGAATGACCAATTTGTCTCTAATAATGATATCTATAGACAAATTACTCTACAGTGCATAGGAACACAACTAGATCTCTAATAGACGGACTTATAATTAACTTAAATTAATTTTTCTTCCAATTTATTCCAAATAAGTTTTTTTTTTCTCATTAACTTTATTTAATTCTATATAAAATATTTTTTTACCATTAACATTATTTAATTATAAATAAATACATTTGTTATGATTGTTAATAAGAAACAATTAATTAAAATTTGGATTTTTAATTTGAACAAAAATACGTTTTCAGATATAGTGAAAAAAATTGTAATGTGTTTAATATTATATATCAGAAACCATTTTTTTTATTTCTTTCTTTATTAATTATTCTCAAGAGTAAAAGTTACTCAAAATATTAAATATTAACATTTAAAATAAAGAAGATTGATCTTTTAATCAATTATTAGCTGGAGGGTTGCAATATTGTGAAACTTTTATTAAAATATAATATCCTAATCTTTAAATTAATAAACTAATCATCATAATCTATGAGAAAATAGAAAGCTTTCAATTATAAATTGACTTATTATACTCCTGAATATGAAACCAAAGATACTAATATCTTGGCAGCATTCCGAGTAACTCCTCAACCGAGAGTTCCACCCGAGGAAGCAAGGGCCGCTATAGCTGCTGAATCTTCTACTGATACATGGACAACTATGTGGACCGATGGGCTTACTAGTCTTGATCGTTACAAAGGACAATGCTATGGAATCGAGCCTGTTCCTGGAGAAGAAAATCAATATATTGCTTATTGTAGCTTATCCCCTAGGTTCTGTTACTAACAGGTTTACTTCCATTGTGGGTAATATATTTGGATTCAAGGCTCTGCGTGCTCTATGTCTGGAGGATTTGCAAATCCCTACTGCTTATATTAAAACTTTCCATGGCCCGCCTCATGGTTTCCAGGTTGAAAGAGATAAATTGAACAACTATGGTCGCCCTCTATTGTGATGTACTATTCAACCAAAATTGGGATTATCGGCTAAGAATTATGGTACAGCAGTTTATGAATGTCTAGGCAATGGACTTGATTTTACCAAAGATGATGAAAAGACTTTATTATATTTGGTTGAAAAAAAAAATTAGATGATGTGTACATAGTTATTACCACTTGAATACATTCATCTAATGTTCTGATCTGTTACAAAGTACATGACGGACTCTCAAAATCTAGGTCCTATTGGATAATATATCATTCTTATTTTTTTTCTCTCAAATTTTAAACCATAGTTTAGGAAAAAAAAATTTAGGAAAAAAAAAATTTATAAACATTATTTAACACTCCACATCCTAAATCTAGAGAGAAGGATATATTATGAAAAGGGAAATCATTGAGAGAGTGACTCATATTACAATATTAGCCTATCCTCCACTACACTTGGGCATATTTAATTAAGAGTGCTTTCATTAAGATGTGTAATGAATCATTCAAACGTGATTCATAAAAAGAATTTGTGAGATAAGAGGTTATGAAAAAACGTACCCTTGGAAGAACTCAGATTCTTGAGGTGTAAAATATTGAGTCCATGCAAGGTTGCAGCAGCCATCGCTGTCTGTTCTGCTACTGCCAACAAGAAATTTACAGCATCATTTGGATCCATATTCCATACAGCTGCACAATTTTGTTTTAGTTCATTGGAGAATGGAGAGCGAGCTGCCACTCACCATCTCCCCATAGCCTATCTTTGTATTTTCTGCTGTCTTTTCCTCCTTAAACCTGTTCACTCAGCCTTGGGATGATTCCCATAGCTCCTTATCAGAACTCCCTCTCTCTGCTGCTGCTTAAAGTTACTCTTCAGTCTTGGGATAATTGAAACAGCCCCTTATCTGAATCTCTGCCTTCCTCTCTCTGCCTCTTTTCCGTTACTCTACAGCCGTGGGATGATTCAAGTGACGAGAAAAAAATTTGTACTACACGAGTTTAATTACATGCTCCGTTTGTTTTTCTTTACTGTAAAAGTACAGATGTATTCTTTGGGTTTTCTCTTTCGGGCTTCCTTTCAAGATTATAAACCACCGCTAGTAGATATTGTCATATTTGGATTTTCCCTTCCTGACTTTCCCTCAAGATTTTAAAACGCGTCTACTAGGAAGAGATTTCCACACCTTTGTAAGGAATGCTTTTCCCCTCTCCAACCGATGTGAGATCTCACAATCCACCCTCTTGGAGGCTCAACGTCTTCACTAGCACACCGCCCAATATCTGAGTCTGATACCATTTGTAACAACCCAAGCCTACCGCTAGCAAATATTGTCCTCTTTGAACTTTTATTTCCGAGCTTCCCCTCAACGTTTTAAAACGTGTTATTAGGGAGAGGTTTCTACATTTTTATAAGTAATGTTTTGTTCCCCTCTCCAACTCCAATCTCGAATTTACAAACTGTTCTTCAGTGCAGCTAAACTCCATACGGCAATTGGTAGAAGTAATATGGATGAGTCTGTAACTAGCAATGTCCTCTACCCTCTCCCTCTTCAATAATTCAAGCGGCATATTACAAGAATCTTCTCCATCTCTCTCTCTAGAACAAGCCAAGTAGCATGTTACCATAATCATCTCTCCCCCTCATGTGAATTCTTGACAACTTGGCAGTCTTGATCTGGTCCACAGCAACAGAGGTTCCCCTCTGCCCCCACCTCCTACTTACCCTTGTCTCTCACGAGGACTCTCCATTATTGCATCCTTACAACCCCCCAAGAGATGGGTCAGAGGAAAAATTGGAGTGATAACCCAACCGGGTTTTCGTCACATGGATAACTAAAGAGAGAGTTGAGCTTGCTTAGGCTTATGGAAGTCCAGCAGTTTCTCTATCTAGACTAGGCACAAATGATTAAGAAGAAATACTTGCCATTTCATTCCAAAAAGTTCAATGTCTTCCCAATATGTGGGAACTACCTTTAAATGTTGTTGCTCATCCGGGCTCTCTGATTCTTCATCGTCCTTTACCATTCCTGCAGTTTCAATGAGATTTGATTTCCAGAGTTACATAAAGGCTTATCAAGCAGGCAACAATAATAGTTACAACAGAGATTCATCCATGTTCTATACTTGGATCATACAGAAGCAATTTGCCAAAATATCTCATTCTTAACCAGAACATAGCTGATAAATGATAAGCCAGAGAACAAAATAAAATTGATCAGATCACCATTTAACTTGCATCAAGGTATCAAAACCAATAATCACTTTCTTTGGAGAAAATATTGAAATCTGCCTAAGCAAATAGACAAGAACTCCGAGGAAAAATTAAACTAATGTAACTTACTTCATAATCACTCCCAAATTTCTGATAATTGAATCAATATCGCCAAATAAACATGAAAAATCAATGTAAGGTAACACAAGTCGACGATGATTCAACTGAGAAATTACAGTGTTTCTTCTAATTTCATCACAAATATAGCAGATAAAGATAGCAAACAAAATTAGTCTTACAATCGAAAATCAAGAGGAGAATGGCGAGTCATTATTACCTCTTCAATGAGCGATTTCGAACAATTAACCTCTTCAAAATGGGGAATCGGAGCGCTAAATGGTGTTGTGCCGAAACGAAAGCCTGAATCTGACTATTTGAACGACGGCAACAAAAAAAAAAAAAAAAAAAGCCATTAAGATCTAGACATCACAGAGCTTGGTAACGCATTAAGATCTCGATTCTCACGTCGCGTTCACTGTAGAGAGCGACGGCGGGGGAGAAGAAAGGAAATAAACACGTCGGTGCCCTTGCCCTTCGCCGACGAACCACGGGCCAAATCAGTTGCGATAACGACAAATCGGATCCAGAATCCAACGGTAGTCATTTAAAAAGCAGATGCTTTTAGATTCCTTGGACGATCACGATTCCCTTCCGCCCAGATCCAAAAAGGTACAATAACACTTTTTTTCTTTCTTTTGTATTTTAATTTTTTTTTTCCCAATTGAGAGGAAATTAGAAACCATACGAAAATTGGTTGAATAAAAGTTTCCCTTTATTAAAATATAATAATAATAATAATAATTTTTAAGCCTGAACAAATATTAGGTAAATATATATTTAAAATTTTAAAAAATACAGAAATAAAATTTAGGTATTTGAACCTGCATGGAAAACAAATGTCAAGCAATACTTAAATTAAAATCTGAAAATAAATAAATAAATAAATCTGTCNTAATAAAATTGGGAATTTAATATTTAAAAAAAAAAAAAAAAAAAAAAAAAAAAAAAAAATATATATATATATAATATTAAAAGTTATCGCTTCCATAGGATATTGCTGAGAAATATTAAAAAGAGAATTTAAAAAAGTATGTGGGGACCACGCGAATTTAAGGAAATTAGTGTTTTTTTTTTGGGGGGTAAAGTGAAAATCTTGATGGATTTATGTAAGCAAACGTCAAGCAATTGAACGGAACAGTGACGTGGTCTGTTTTGTTCAATAATGCGGGGCCCACAAAACCGGGTAACGATACCGACACGTATCCTCCACGTGCTGGTTTTCTGTTGGACCCGACCGTTAGAAATAACACACCCAATAATCCCAATACAAAAATTCCGGTTTTATATATTTTAAATACAAATAATTTATGGCTAAATTTAATTTCTGATTATAAAATTTGTACTTATTTGATTCACTTAATATAAAAGTTAAAATTTTTTATTTGACGGTGACTGACAAACGATAAAGAATTGGTCATTTCACTTTATATTTTACTGCAACAGTGAGGGTGAGATTATCAAACACGCAGCCGGTGGCTTTTTAAAAAGCACAATTTTCAATTTCTCCATCTTTTTTATAAAATAAATTAATTTATTGGCAGATTCCAAATTTGCACGAGGATATAGATAGACTGATCGGTCATTGTTGCCGTTATTTCAACTTCTCCGGTGAAGAAAGAAGGAGAGAAGAAAAAAAAAAAAAAAACAGGGAACTAAGATTTTTTTTTTTTTTTTTTTTTCTTCTTCTTCGCGGATTTCCGGTAAAGGATAACCACCAAACCTTCATATCATAATCAATTTCTTCCGTGCAAGCAAAATCCGATTCGAAATCTCGCCAAAAGTCTGACCCATTTGGCTTAATTTACTAAAGAGTTCATAGCCGGCGGAATTTCTCAGTTTCGAAAATGGATTTCTGGCCGGAATTTCTCGCTAACAGTTGGGGGAAAGAGTTCATAGCCGGCGGAATCGGCGGCATCGCCGGCATCGTCTCCGGCTACCCACTCGACACCCTTCGCATCCGACAGCAACACTCCACCTCTGGTTCCGCCATTAGCGTCCTCCGTAACATCATGTCCAACGGCGGCCCAGCTGCCCTCTACAGAGGAATGGGCGCTCCACTCGCTTCCGTCACTTTCCAGGTCCCGAGTTGTTCATATTTTTAATCAATTTATTCGAAGATTCCAGGATATTCCCATTAAAACCCATTTGTTATTTTTGTTAATTTGCTACGTGAATCTTGCAGAACGCAATTGTTTTCCAAACAAACGCGGTGCTCTGCCGAGCGTTCGATCCGGCGGTAACGGACAACCGTCCACCGTCGTACAAGGCAGTAGCATTAGGCGGATTCGGCACCGGAGCATTACAGAGCCTAATTCTAACACCGGTGGAGCTCGTTAAGATCCGCCTTCAATTACAGGATCTGGGTTCATCGAGCCACTCAGATCTGGGTTCATCTCGGCCCGGGCCGATGCAGGTTGCGAAGAACATATTCAAAACCGAAGGCTACAAAGGGCTTTACAGAGGCTTAACAATCACAATGCTAAGAGACGCTCCATCCCATTGTTTTTACTTCTGGACATACGAATTCATGAGAGAAAAGCTTCATCCCGGTTGCAGGGAGTCCGGGCAAGAGACATTGAGAACGATGCTCGTCGCCGGCGGTTTAGCCGGCGTGGCCAGTTGGGTGTGTTGTTACCCACTGGATGTGGTTAAAACCAGACTCCAAGCTCAATCGAAAATGTCGTTTCAAAAGTACAGTGGAATTGTGGACTGTTTCTATAAGAGCGTGAAAGAAGAAGGGTACAGTGTGTTATGGCGGGGATTGGGAACCGCCATTGCAAGAGCTTTTGTAGTGAATGGAGCCATTTTTTCTGCTTATGAGCTGAGCTTGAGATGTCTGTCCAACAATGGAGGATTTCATGCTGAAAACACCATTTAAGAGAATTGGGGTTTTTTCCTGATTTCCACCATTTTCTTCTGTTTTCAAATCCATTACTGATTCATTTATGAGTGTGTAAATAAGTGGATGAAGAACTTGGTGAGAGGGATTATGAATTCTGTAAATCCATTTATTGGAGTTGCAGAAGAAGAAAACTGTCTGTTTGAAGGAATAATGTTAGGAGAATTTCATATAAATAAATAGTTTTTAAGAAATTAAATTATTTATTACGAAACATTTTATTTTAGTGAATTATTTATTTTTAGATTAAATATGCATTTAATTTTGTTATGTATTATTCTCGGTAGTATATATATATATATACATATATATTTCCAAACATGTTGCATTAAAAAATAAATATTTAGGTTGAAATGAAATAGAATGCATGAAAAATGTTGAGAATAGAATCAAAGTTCAAAACAACTTCTTATTATGATAAAGTTTGGAAAACAACAAATCCTTCACCCACTCCCAACTTCCTAAATAAGAACATAAAATAGAGTCAACCACCTGCCTTTGAATCCAAGTAGTTACATAGTTGACCATTGATATTGCTTTGGATAAGCATAATAATCCTTGATGCTTTTTTTTTTTTTTTTTTTTTTTTTTTTTTTTTTTTTTTTTTTTTTTTT